TAAATTTTGTCATTGTTTATAAATTCGTGGAAATCCTTCGAAATCCTAAAAAATTCTTAGAATTTCTACGTATTTGATATTTTCTTAAAAAAAAAAAACAAATTAAACCATTGCTCCTATTTTCCCCTTGTTCAAAGAATCTCTTTTTTGCTGAAACATTTTACCAACGAACCGAATTTCAAGCCTTTTTCATTTCAGAGAGAGATTTTGAATATTTGAAAATGGAAATTTTGATGACAAAGTTTTTTTCGAAAAATTTTTGATTTTTTGTCAATTGGAAATTTAGCCTGGGAATGCGATAAACGATAAAATTTCTTAATTAGAAACATGAGGAGTATTTTTTACGAATTTAGTTTTTTCAATGAGAAAACAAAGCACAAAATGGTAAAATTACAAGATTTAGATCAATGTTTACCTCAGGAAGCTAGAAAATTTCGAAATTTGGTCTAAATGTGTCAAGTGTTTCATTGAGAACGTTACAAAATTTTGARTAGTTTACCACAAATGCAAAATTTATTTCAAAGAWTCTCTTAATTAATTTTYGGTGAAAAATTTTACCAACSAACCGAATTTCAGAGAGMATATTTWAAGAYGAAAATTAAGAAATTTGCAAAATTAKATGAAGTTTATAATGTTTTTCAACGGAAACTATAAAAACTTTGAGAGATTTTGTCAAAARAAGATSGAAAATAATGAAAATTKCAAAATTAGAGCTAGAAATGTGTTTTTATAARTTTAAAACGTTTTATTATTCTACAACAAGACCRAAAATTGCWCAATTAGTTCTTTAACGTATAATTTTTGCTTATTTTGAGATTCAGAGCGTTTTTCACAGATGAACTAAATAAATTTGAGAGATCTCGTAAAACAAGATAGAAAATTGCAAAATTTAATCTAAAAATGGGCTATTTTGCATGTTTTTAAAAAATTCTATGTAGAAATTTATTTTAAAATCTATTATTATCTAAGCATGTAAAAGTGTTTCACTGAAAATTTCACAAAAATTCGAAATATTTAACCAAAACTAAGCAGAAAGTTACAAAATTCATTCTGAAGTGCATTATTTCTGCTCATTTAAGTAGATTTTAAAATGTTTTACGCATTGAATTTTAAAATTTTCCTGAAAACTAAATAAAAAGTTGTAAAATAACATCAAAAATGAGTCTGGAGTAATTTTCAGCCAGAAACTCACACAATTCCATAAATTTTGCCAAAACCAAATAGAAAATTGCAAAATTTGAAAAAGCAAATTTGAATTGAATTAAAACAGTTTTTTCTGGTCAATGTGTGAAATTTAGCATAATCTTGAATTTGATTGGTTGGAGACATTCATTGATCCAATTACAAGGGCCAATAATAACCATTTCCCTTTCGCGTAACTACCACTATCGTGAGAACAAACCGGTTTTTATTTCTTATTTGTCAAAATTCGACAAAAACCTAGCAACGATAAGTAACTCCGCCCATTTAAAAAATCGTGAATAATTATTGAATTCTGAATCGAATTTTTATAACAAATCAGCGTTTAGTATGAGTTTATTTTACTTTAATTTTGCACAATGGGTGGAGCCAACCACAGGGCCAATATGAATCATACATCTTCGATTATTAGACCAATAAGACTGTCATTGCATCAATTAAAATCAACCAATCAGAACACGAGTTGGATTTTTCGAAAAATAATTAAAATTTTTGTTTCAAACTATTTTTTTTATCAATATAAAATATTAATTCATTTAGTTTAGTGTTTGCCCATTTTCAAAACGTATTTATTTTAATTTTTGTAGAACTCAAAAACAAAAAAAATTTCCGAAAATCTTGCTTATTTATCAATTTTTATTCGCTGACCTTTCTGAGAAATGCGAAATGTGAATTTTTGATGTGGGATAGTTGCACAATTTTTTATTACTTTTCCTCTTGACAGATATAAATCGAGGGTTTTTTTTTACGACAAATTCAAGGATTTATACGAAATCTTTAAAAACTGTTAACTGTCATGCAGCTTTGTAGGATATTTCTTGCAACAACAACAATTTAATTCAAGAGTTAATTAGAAAATTTGCTCGAACAAAAGTATTGTAAAATTTCCTCGCAGTTTCACAGGGAGATTTTCCTCCGAATAAAGTCATTACATTTCCAATTTACATTTTCCATAGTGTGCAATTTTTTTCCTTCCTTCCGGAAAACTACATAAGTTGGCGTTCATAAAGTCGCTAGATTGTCAATAACAGAGCCATTATGTCGGCAAAAATTGAATTCTTTTTAGAGTTATTTTTACGAAAGACGAGAGATTTACTGAAATAATTTAATACAGAATGCGGCGGCGGCTTGTGGTGAGGGTAATAAATCCGTGTCTTGGTTACACCACAAGATGACACTATGCATAATTGTTTATACTTTATCACTTCTTATCTCACTTGAGCGGAGTTTCGCACCAATTCAGATACTTAAAAATTACTACAAATCCCCATAAGTCTCTGGAAATTACAACCCTAACAGAATTCCGGAAAAATTAATAAAACAAAACTAAAAGTTTTCAGTTAAATTATATTTTATCTTGTTGTTAAATTTTTGGCGAAAAAATAAATTATGTTATTCCCGATTTTTTGATATAAAATTTGGCTTGGGAATGCGATAAACGATAAACTTTCTGAATAAAAAAATATGGAGTAAAAAATTCGTTATTTTTTTATGAATTTAGTAGTTTTTTCAAATTGCTAAAATTGTTATGACCTAACAAAGCAGAAAATGGCAAAATTACAAAATTTAGATCAAGAAGCTAGAAATTTTCGAAATTTGGTCGAAATTTGTTTGAGAACTTTACACAATTCTGAATATTTTACCAAAAATGGAAAATTTATCTTGTTTTTTAATGATTATAGAGTGATTCTCATCGAAAATTTATTATATTATTCTTCGACTTTTGATTTACTTATTATTACTGAATCACTGAATAAATTTTGTCATTGTTTATAAATTCGTGGAAATCCTTCGAAATCCTAAAAAATTCTTAGAATTTCTACGTATTTGATATTTTCTTA